TCCCTTCCTTTTATCCGTTCTAACCCGACTGCTCAGCGATTTCACGGAGTGCCCACAAGGAGTTCTTGTCTTGTGAGAAAGGGAGAACAGGAGAAAAGGACTTCTGTCTCAACCTGCTCTATCCCATGCGTAATCTTATAAACCTCGATCACGTCACCCCTCAGCCGTCGTTTCTCCGAGCTACTAAAGAGCCCCAAGCGCTTTAACCTTTCCTCATAGGGAAGGTGTTCCAGCCCTTTGATCATTCGAGTTGCCCTTTTCTGCACTTTTTCCAATGCTGTAATATCCTTTTTGAGGGGTGGCAACCAGAACTGTACACAGTACTCCAAATGAGGTTGCAACCTCATGAGCTTGTGTCGAGGGCCTTTTCCTCCCCACTGAATCACAGGGGGTGGGCAGCATTGGGGGATGGAGCTGCCTTGCGGGCGTGAGTCCAGAGGTCTCTGTCTCTCTCTCTCTGTCTCTCTCTCTCTCTCTCGGGGCCACCTTTGTTGAAGGACGGTCGTTGCAAAGAGTGGGTCAAAGCATCCCAGATGGGTGCAGCGATGGAGCCGTTTGAGTTAGTCTGTTCCAAAATGGTTGTTGTTATTTTACCGTCAACAGTGGGAGGGCTTCTAATGTCCTGGCCCCACTGGTGGAGCTCCTGATGGCACCTGGTATTTCTGGCCCCTGTGTGACACAGAGTGTTGGACTGGATGGGCCTTTGGCCTGATCCAACATCGGCATCTCTTATGTTCTTAAGTTACAGCTGACTTATGGAGACCCCGTAGGGCTTTCGAGGCAAGAGGTGCTCAGAGGGGATTTGCCCGTCTTTGCCCGCCTCTCTGTCACAACCACGGTGTTCCTCGGAGCTCTCCCGGGCAAGCGCTGGCAAAAGCCGGCCCTGCTTCACTTCCGAGATCTGGTGAGCTCGGGTTAGCCTGGGCCGTCCAGGTCGTGGTTCTGAAACTATAGAGACAGCTCAAGATAAGTCGCCCAATCAGTCTGTCTGTAGCGGTAGAAAAAGAGCCAAGAGCCCGGCAGCACCTTAAAGACCAACAAAAGTTGTGGCAGGCCACAAAGCTCTGACCTGGCCACAGATTTTTGTTCGTCTTTCAGATGCTCCTGGACTCTTGCTCTTTTCTACTAAAATTACAGGGGAGGGAAGTTAACTCTTGGCCAGTGTTCCCTCTGAGCTGAGGGAGTGTGAGCCAGCTCTCAGTTTTTTAGCCTCTGGTTCCCACATTTCTGTCTCGGCTCAGGAAGGAGGGCTCCGGAGCAAGCTGATTTATGCAGCAGCCAGTGTTCCCTCTAAGCTGAGTTGGTGTGAGCTAGCTCACAGTTTTTTAGCCTCCGGCTCACACATTGTTGTCTTAGCTCAGGGAGGAGGGCTCCAGTCCAGAGCAAACTGATTTATGCAGTAGCCGAATCACCTGCCTGCTCACAACTTTAATGCTGGTAGCTCACAAAGTAGAATTTTTGCTCACAAGACTCCACAGCTTAGAGGGAACATTGGCAGCAGCCCAATTGCTCGCTCACAGCTTTAAGGCCGGCAGCTCACAAAGTAGGATTTTTGCTCACGAGACTCCACGGCTTAGAGGGAGCGTTGCTCTTGGCGCTCAGCAAGTTGCTCTTCGCACATGTTCAAGTGCGCTCTTCTAGCGCTTCTCCTAGCCCCCCGGCGTTAAAACCAGGCTCCAGAGTCGGCTGTGCGCACGGGGTCTTTGTGTGGGTAACCTGAGGCCGCCCTGACAGAGACAATGGTGCCCTTCCCTGACAATTACTTTCCTTCTGAATTTTTAACCATGTTTTGGAGGCTGGCAAAGACCAGGCCGTGGCGTTGGGTTTCCAGGACCGGCGTGAAACCAGACCTGGGTTGGAAAAAAAACAACACACACACAAGAGAGATTGCCCTTGTCTTGTGCAAAAGAGACGGCTTGGATAGGAAGGACGGGGCAGTTTAGTTATTGGTGCCGCCTGCGGGGTTCCAGACCGGCGCTTTCCTTCACAAGCCCCTGTGGTCCGGAGCAGTTTCCTTTCCTTTCTCTCCCGGCTACGAAGTTCATGTCTCCTTGCCCTGTGCTTTCTTGAGGCGTTGTTGCAAACATATTCCAGCTGCCTGTGAGATGCCGCAACTTCGGCTAGTTACCAAACAAGCCAAAATAAAGGGTGGTGTGTTTTTTTAAAGGGATATTTCCAATCCAACCCCCCTTTCTCCTGGCCAGCTCTTGCAGAAGGTGGCGTGATCCGGGGGGGCAGGCTGAAATTCAGGACGCTCGACTCTTCACGGGCCCTCCCTCCCTCCCTCCCTTTCAGGCTTCCATTTAAAAGAGATTCCAAGATAAATATGCCTTCCCTGCACTCTTCTCGCACCCGCCGTCCCTGAAGATAGATTATACTCCGGACTGCTCTGGCTGGATGCGTTCAATGCTCCCTCTAAGCTGTGGAGTCCTGGGAGCAAAAATTCTACTATGTGAGCTACCGGCATCAAAGTGGTGAGCGAGCGATTTGGCTGCTGCATACATCACTTTGCTCTGGAGCCCTCCCTTCCTGAGCGAAGAGAAAAACGTGTGAGCCGGAGGCTGAAAAGCTGAGAGCTAGCTCACACTCACTTAGCTTAGAGGGAACACTGGATGCGTTCCTATTCCACATGCAGGAAAGCTCCGTTCCTTGACCTTAACGCAAACTAAACAGCTGCAGAATTGGCTTGGCGGGCCAGAGGAGGGCAAAGCAGGCCCATAGCCACGGTGGGGCCCCTGGGGCCCAGCCTTCCCGACTTCTTCCCAAGGCCCCTGACTTTTGGGGTGAAGCCAGGGCCGCGCACAGCTTGGAGTGCAGGCGTGCGGCCCCCACTTCTCCCTCAAAGCTACGCAGACCCCCAGACCAATGCTCCCTCTAAGCTGTGGAGTCTCGTGAGCGAAAATTCCACTTTGTGAGCGACTGGCATCAAAGTGGTGAGTGAGCCATTTGGCTGCTGCATAAAGTAGTTGGCTCTGGAGCCATCCCTCCTGAGCGAAGACAACAATGTGTGAGCTCGCTCGCACTCACTCAGCTTAGAGGGAACATTGATTTACTACCAATGCTAACTTGTCGAGGACTTTTAAATGTGCAGTGTGCTTGATCATCCTCAGCTTGGCTTTGCTTTCCTTAGGCTTGTGCCTTTTTAACAACCAGACAACTGTGGCTGAAAAGCCAAAACTGCAGCCACACAGATGACAACAGACAGTCAGTAGAGAAGGGTGGCGGAAAAACGAGGGTGGGGTGTTGGCGAGGCCAGGGCGTTGGGCTTGTTTCGGTTTGGGATGGAGACAGATGAACGACACGGGAGCAGTGTTCCCTCTAAGCTGAGTTAGCGTGAGCTAGCTGACAGTTTTTTAGCCTCTAGCTCACACAGTTTCGTCTTAGCTCAGGAAGGATGGGGCTCCAGAGCAAACTAATTGATGCAGCGGCCAAATTGATCGCTCACAAACTTTAGTGCCAGGAGCTCACCAGGCAGAACTACCTCCCAGTCAGTGTTCCCTCTAAGATGAGTTGGTGTGAGCTAGCTCATAGTTTTGTAGACTCCAGCTCACACATTTTGTCTTGGTGCATGAAGGATGGCTCCGGAGAAAGCTAATTTATGCAACAGCCAAATCACTTGCTCACCGCTTTAATGCCAGTAGCTCACAAAGTAGAATTTTTGCTCACAAGACTCCACAGCTTAGAGGGAACATTGCACGGGAGTGCCGTTCGGAGCTCTCAAGACCATCTTTGGGAACCAGCTCTTACCCGGAGCGAACCCAGAGTGTTGCATGGGAGACTCGGAGAGCCACCCTCCTGTCCTGCTGTTGCGTTCTGTGCCAATGCGGCCGGCGTCTTTGCAACCTGGATTTTTTTCCTACCCAGTGTAAAAAACAAAAAAGTTGTTTATTGAATTGGTTCAGGGAGGATTCCCCCCCCCCCCGAGTGATTTATACTTGTTTTCCTTGGGCCCGCGTCCAACTCAGACAAACAGGAGCAGAGTTTCTAAGGACCGTTGCTTCTTCGCCGCAAGCCTGTCCGGGCCAGTGCTCCCTCTAAGCTGTGGAGTCTTGTGAGCAAAAATTCTACTTCGCAAGCTACTGGCTTTAAAGCTGTGAGCGAAAGTTGTGAGCGAAAGTTCTACTTTCTGAGCTGCTGGCAATTACAGTTGTGAGCGAGCGATTGGGCTGCTGCATAAGTTAGCTTGCTCTGGAGCCATCCCTTCCTGAGCGGTGACAAAAATGTATGAGACGGAGGCTAAAAAACTGTGAGCCAGCTCACACTCACTCAGCTTAGAGGGAACACTGTCTGTGAGCTACTGGAATTGAAGTTGTGAGCGGGTGATTTGGCCACGGTATAAACCAGTTTGCTCTGGAGCCCTCCTTCCTGAGCTGAGACAAAAAGGTGTGAGCTGGAGGCTAAAAAACTGTGAGCTAGCTCACACTCACTCAGCTTAGAGGGAACACTGTCTGTGAGCTACTGGCATTGAAGTTGTGAGCGAGTGATTGGGCTGTGCATAAATTAGTTTGCTCTGGAGCCCCATCCCTTCCTGAGCGAAGACAAAAATGTGTGAGCCAGAGGCTAAAAAAATGTGAGTCGGCTCACAGTAACTCAGCTTAGAGGGAACACTGTCTATGAACTACAGGCATTGAAGTTGTGAGTGAGTGATTGGGCTGCTGCATAAATTAGTTTGCTCTGGAGCCCTCCTTCCTGAGCGAAGACAAGAATGTATGAGCCAGAGGCTAAAAAACTGTGAGCCGGCTCAAACTAACTCAGCTCAGAGGGAACACTTTCTGTGCGCTACAGGCTTTGAAGTTGTGAGCGAGTGGTTTGGCTACTGCATACATTAGTTTGCTCTGGAGCCATCCTTCCTGTGCGGAGACAAAAGTGTATGAGCTGGAGGCTAAAAAAACTGTGAGCTGGCTCACGCTAACTCAGCTTAGAGGGAACGCTGGTCCAGGCACCCCAAAGGCGGAGCCGTTCGGAGAGCTGACTGATCCTCTTTGCCGTTTGCAGGCCGAAGATGACTCTCAACCTCCACCGAGGGAGCCTGCCCTCTTCCCAGAGACGGGCCAGCACCCCTCTGCCTGCCCTCTACCGGTCCCGCCCGGGGGCGCCGGGTGCCCGTCCCGTCCAAGCCGAGCCCTGCCACCCGCAGCTGGGCCATTCCTCCTCCTGCGAGCCGAAAGCCAGCCTGCCTGAAACACGGGACAGCTGGTCGTCTGAATCCTCCGACAGCTCTTGGGAGTCCTTGTATCGCGTGGTACTGCTGGGGGACCCCGGGGTGGGCAAGACCAGTTTGGTGAATCTCTTTGCTGGGGTTCAAGAGAAGGATCTGCCGGAACAACAGAGAGGTAAGAGTCTGATTTGTGGGGGGGTTTTGGGTGGTGGTGGCTGCGTTCCTGTAATGCCTGCGGAGATTGGTCTCTGTGGACTAGAACGTGACTCAGTCAATAGAAAGGCTCAGGAACGGCTGAGTGTGGTGTTTAGGTTTCCCTTGTTTCTGTAGAGTCCATCTTCCCTGCAGCTGCTGGAGTGACCTTGGGTCGGTCACAAGTTCTCTCAGAGCCGTTCCCTCAAGAGCAGTCCTCGAAAGAGCTCTCTCAGCCCCACCGACCTCACAAGGTGTCTGTTGTGGGGAGGGGAAGGAGATTGTGAGCCGCTCACTGAGACACCAAGTGAAGGGCGGGGTATAAATCCAATCTTCTTTTTCTTCTCCTTCTGTGCAGCGTAGCTTACTTGCTGTTTGTCCCGCATGTGACCAGCACACTCGTTACTCGCCAGAGTTAAAAATGCAGCTTCCCTGTTTAGAAGCAATGTAAAAAAGGTGCATCTGCTTTACAGACTTTGAACTGGTTTAGAAGACTCCTCCTTTTTTCCTAGGAGAGGATGGGAAAGGAGTTTGTAAGCCACTCTGAGACTCCAAGTGACGGGTGGGGTATAAATTCAATCTCTTCTTCTTCCTCCTCTTCTTCCTCTTCCTCTTCTTCTTCCTCCTCCTCTTCTTCCTCTTCTTCTTCCTCCTCCTCCTCTTCCTCCTCCTCCTCCTCCTCCTCCTTCATGGAAACTGTAGTTCTGGAGAGGGGGTATAGTATGGGGTTCTCTGTTAAGAAATCCTTCAAAGGGTTACCATGCTACCGTTAGCCTCTTTGGAATTTCCTGTCTGCAACTGAACAAGCCGTGAAACTCCAAAGGGGGGAAAATGAAGACCAGTGCTCCCTCCAAGCTGTGGGGTCTTGCGAGCAAAAAATCTACTTTATGAGCTGCTGGCATTAAAGTTGTGAGCGAGCGATTTGGCTGCTGCATCAATTAGCTTGCTCTGGAGCCCCATCCTTCCTGAGCCAAGACAAAAATCTGTGAGCTGGAGGCTAAAAAACTGTGCGCCGGCTCACACTCACTCAGCTTAGGGGGAGCAGGGCTGAAGACTAAAACGGAAGTCAGTGCTGAAGGAAGAGACTCGTGAACGTGTGACGCTGTCATGCAGAGTCAGACCCTCGGTCTTTCAAGATGAGGATTGTCTTACTCAGAGGTCATTTCGGGGGGATCGCGGGGGATCGCAGTTCCCCCGGGTGAGGTATGGGGGGTGGGGCACATGACGAAGCCCCGCCCCCTGCTTCCGGCCGCCCCGCTTCCGGCCCTGTCGTGCAGAGTCAGACCCTCGGTCTTTCAAGATCAGGATTGTCTTACTCCGACTGGCAACAGACGCCCAGGGTCTTGGGTGGGAGGTCTTTCACCCCACCTTCTACCTGACCCTTTTCAACTGGAGATGCTGGGGACTGAACCTGGGACTTTTGGCACGCCAAGGAGGTGCTCTACCCCTGAGCCACGGCCCCTCCCGAACAAAATGGAACCAGTCCAGTTTTTATAGTCCTGAATAGAAGGACCTAGTGTTAACAATCTCACTAACAGGTCTTTCTGACAGACCCTGATTCATTTGATTCCGACTTCCACGAGAGTGGTGAGTCCACAGATTTCTTTGAGGAGCCACCTGATGTAGAGCCCTGGTGGGCCAATACGGTTGCCAGCTCCAGATTTTGGGGTGGAGCCTGAGGAGGGCGGAGTTTGGGGAGGGAGGGACTTCAGTGGGGGTACCATTATGTCATAGACGCCACCTTCCAGAACAGCCATTTTCTCCAGGTGAACTGATATCGTTCATCTAGAGATCAGTTGTAATCGGGGGAGACCTCCAGTCATTATCTGGAGGTTGGCAATTTAAGGCCAAGCAGTTTAGGCTTTTCTCAGCTCCAAACAGAGATGCAAAATTTCTAGATGTTTTGAAGCTTCATAAGACCACGAGAAGAGCCCTGCTGGATCAGACCAGTGGTCCATCTAGTCCAGCAGCCTGCCTCACACAGTGCCCAACCAGTTCCTCTGGAGGGCCAGCAACAGGGCAGAGAGGCCGAGGCCTTCATAAGAACATAAGAAGAGCCCTGCTGGATCAGACCAGTGGTCCATCTAGTCCAGCCTTCTGTCTCCCCCAGGGGCCAACCAGTTCCTCTGGAGGGCCAGCAACAGGACAGAGAGGCCGAGGCCTCCATAAGAACATAAGAAGGTCCCTGCTGGATCAGACCAGAAGTTTATCCAGTCCAGCACCCTGTCTCACACAGTGGACAATCAGTTTCTCTGGACATCCCATAACAAGGCATAGAGGCTGAGGCCTTCATAAGAAGATAAGAAGCCTGCTGGATCAGACCGTCGGTCATCTAGTTCAGCATCCTATCTCACAATAGTGGTCGCACAGTTCCTCTGGAGAATCAACAACAGGGCAGAGAGGCCGAGGCCTTCCCGTGATAAGAACAGAAGGAAAGCCCTGCTAGATCAGACCAGTGGGGGCCATCTAGTCCAGCATCCTGTCTCACACAGGGGCCAGCCAGTTCCTCTGGAGGGCCAGCAACAGGGCATAGAGGCCAAGGCCTTCATAAGAACATCAGAAGTGCACTGCTGGATCAGACCAGTGGTCCACCTAGTCCGGCACCCTGTCTCCCACAGTGGCCAGCCAGTTCCTCTGGAGGAGAGGCCGAGGCCCTCCCGTGATAAGAACCTCAGAAGAGCCCTGCTAGATCAGACCAGTGGTCCACCTAGTCCGGCACCCTGTCTCCCACAGTGGCCAGCCAGTTCCTCTGGAGGACCAACAACAGGGCAGACAGGCCGAGGCCTTCCTAAGAACCTCAGAAGAGCCCCGCTGGATCAGACCAGTGAGGGTCCACCTAGTCCGGCATCCTGTCTCACACAGTGGCCAACCAGTTCCTCTGGAGGGCCAACAACAGGGCAGACAGGCCGAGGCCTTCTCGTGATATTGCCTCCTGGCTCTGGGATTCAGGGAATTAGTGCCACTGTGTGAGGTTCTTTTCAGGCACCAGGGCTAGTAGCCATTGACAGACGTAATAAGAACATAAGCTTGTGGGAAGGTTGTTTTCGGGGGGGGGGGGAATAGCAAGCATTTCAGGAAAAACTGAAATATATGCAGTTGCCCTGTTTTTAAATAATCCTAAACATGTGTTACGGCTTTAACAACATAAAATATATAGTTATAACTTTGTAAAAATGGATTTATTTATAGAATTCAAAAATACAAATTCCTCATTTTCTACAAGCAAAGTTTGTGAATATACCCAGTACAAAAGAGAGAGAGAGAACTACAAACTGCTTACACCCTGTGCTAATTTAGCTAACATTATCTTAATTGTCGCCTGCAGGGGGGAAAAAGTTGGAAATAGAAAAACACACATTTTGTCGTTAACAAAAAGATGACATTATGCACACAGCAACGGTTTTGTTCCATAACAATAGAACTAGCTCCATAATTGGATATAGATTTAAACTTTGGTGAAAAAGTTGAACTGGTCTGTCTTATCATGCATATTATAGCAAATTAATTGTGGATAAAATTGATTCCATTTAAACAATAAAAGTATTCTTAATATCCATGTGACTACACAGAAATCACATGCTGTAGCTTGTTTTACAAAAAAACCAAAAACCCAAAATCCTTTATACGGCACCTTTTGAGGGAAAACAACGTTGTCCTTAAAAAGAATGTTGCTCATTACAAAAAATAAAATATTTCACAATAATTAATTTCTGCACTTCCTCAGTTTTCCATTTTTTTTGTTGGAAAACTTAAAAAGTCCTGGAGGGGGGGGAACCAGGAAGACCTATTTCCCTGGTCCTTCTCATTTCTTGTTCAGCGGTGAGGGCGGAATATACATTGAAATAAATAAAATAAGTAAATAAACTCAAGAAGAGCCCTGCTGGATCAGACCAATGGTCCCTCCAGTCCAGCATCCTGTCTTACACGCTGGCCAACTAGTTCCTCTGGAGGGCCAACAACAGGGCAGAGAGGCCGAGGCCTTCATAAGAACATCAGAAGAGCCCTGCTGGATCAGAGCAGTGGTCCATCTAGTCCAGCATCCTGTCTCACACAGGGGCCAGCCAGTCCCTCTGGAGAGCCAACAACAGGGCAGAGAGGCTGAGGCTTTCCCTTGATAAGACCATAAGAAGAGCCCTGCCGGATCAGATCAGTGGCCTCTCTAGTGCAGCATCCTGTCTCACGCAGTGGCCAACCAGTTCCTCTGGAGAGCCAACAACAGGCCATAGAGGCTGAGGTCTTCATAAGAACATAAGAAGAACCCTGCTGGATCAGACGAATAGTCCCTCTAGTCCAGCATCCTGTCTCACACAGAGGCCAACCAGTTCCTCTGGAGGGCCAACAGCAGGGCAGAGAGGCCGAGGCCTTCATAAGTACCTAAGAAGAGCCCTGCTGGATCAGACCAGTGAGGGTCCATCTGGTCCAGCATCCTGTCTCACACAGTGGCCAGCCAGCTCCTCTGGAGGGCCAACAACAGGGCATGGAGGCCGAGGCCTTCATAAGAATATCAGAAGAGCCCTGCTGGAGAGGCCTTCATAAGAACATCAGAAGAGCCCTGCTGGATCAGAGCAGTGGTCCATCTAGTCCAGCATCCTGTCTCACACACAGTGGCCAACCAGTTTCTCTGGAGGCCCAAGAACAGGACATAGAGGCCGAGGCCTTCCCCTGATGTTGCCTCCTGCCTCTAGGATTCAAAGGTTTAGTGCCTCTGACTGTGGAGATTTCCCTCAGTCCCCATGGCTAGTAGCCACTGATAGACCTCTCCTCCATGAATCTACCTAAGCCCACTTCAAAGCTAGTTGTGTGGACAATCTGTTATGCTGAAAAATCGATTAAGTGGCCGCTTCCCCTGTGTTGGTAGCCTATTCTCCTTTGCCCTCTCCATTTACACTGTCCACGTCCGTGGAGGACACGTGGCACACCACTGGTTGCTCCCACATAGTCTGTGGCCATGAAAGGGTTCCTCCACGTGGAGCCCACATTGAAATTATTTCCAGCCAACATTGGCTTCTCTTATGTTCTTATAGGAACACTCGGTCTAAGGCAAGTGATGCTCTGTTCTTTGTGCTTGGGGGGGCAACAGTGGGAGGGCTTCTAGTGTCCTGGCCCCACTGCTGGACCTCCTGAGGGCACCTGGTATTTTTGGCCACTGTGTGACAAGAGCGTTGGACTCGATGGGCCATTGGCCCGACCCAACATTGGCTTCTCTTATCTTCTCTTATGTTCTTATGTTACCCAATGAAACAGCTGTTAGGGTTCAGCCAGCACCCAAGTATTTATTGCAGCATCCTCATTTATTCAAGGCGCTTTCCCACATGCTGAATAATGCCTGTAGGAAAGGGCCGCCTAGCAAATCAAATCAAATCAAATCAATCAATAATACACTTAAGCAATTGTTTGCAAGTGGACTTTTGCAACTACTTTTGTTTCTCATATATAATCACAGCGCTGGAAGGGGCCATAGGCCATACAGGCAATCTAGTCCAACCCCCTGCTCGATGCAGGATCAACCTAAAGCATCCCTGGCGAGTGTTCGTCCAGCTGCTGCTTAAAGACGGCCAGGGAAGGGGGGCTCACCTCCTCCCGAGGCAACCGACTCCACTGCTGAACTACTCTTACTGGGGGGGGGGGAATCCTAATATCTAGCCAGTATCTGAGCCAATTTGGTGTTGCGGTTAAGAGCAGGGGACTTGAATCTGGGAGAACCGGGTTCGATTCCCCACTCCTTCACATGCAGCCAGCTGGGCGACCTCAAGTCAGTCACAGTTCTCTCATCGCTCTCTCAGCCCCACCTACCTCTGTCTAGTCACATCACTAGTGATGGATAATAAGAATGAGAATTCTGAACTCCTGCTCCTAAACTTGGGAAGGCTCAAGAGAGAACACCAAGAAAGATCTAGGTGATCTAGGGGTTCTGGTTGATCACAAGCTAAACATGAGCCTGCAGTGCGATGTGACTGCGAAGAAAGCTAATGCAGTCTTAGGATGCACTAACAGAAGCATTGTGTCCAGATCACGGGAGGTGGTCGTTCCACTCTATTCTGTGATGGTCAGGCCTCACCTGGAGTCCTGTGTCCAGTTTTGGGCACCACATTGTAGGAAGGATGTTGACAAGCCTGAGCGTGTCCAGAAGAGGGCAACCAGGATGGTGAGAGGGTTGGAATCCAAGTCTTACGAGGACAGGCTGAAGGAGTTGGGTCTGTTTAGCCTGGGCAAGAGAAGGCTTAGAGGGGACATGACTGCAGTCTTCAGATATCTGAAGGGCTGTCAGGTAGAAGATGGAGCAGATCTATTCTCACTTGCTCCGGATTGCGAGACTCGATCTAATGGGTGGAAATTACAAGTGAGTCGTTACTGGCTAAATATCAGGAGAAGCTTCCTAACTGTCAGAGTGGTTGAGCAGTGGAACAGTCTGCCTCGGGAGGTGGTGGAGGCTCCTTCGCTGGACGTTTTTAAGCGGAGGCTGGACAACCCAGCGGAGGCTGGACAACCCTCTTTTGGGTATGTTGTAGGGCTGTCTTTCGGCTCTGCTCCTGCAGAGTGCAGGGGGCTGGACTAGATGACCTGCAAGGTCCCTTCCAACTCTAACATTCTATGATTCTATGATTCTGATGCCAAGACCACG